GTCAAGGACAGAAAGGTAGATGTGGCAGTGGAAGGTGTCAAAGCAGTTTGGAGAGAAAAACTAAGTAAACAACAACAACAAAAAAAAACCAATTGATTATTAAATTAGTCATCGATTATTTTAATAATCGGTTAGTCGTCGACTAATCGTGGCAGCCCTATTTGACACCAGCTCCTGTTGGTTATCAGACAGTGAAATATTCATTACAGTAATTCTAAAAGATGAAATAAAAAATAAAAATCTCACAAGGTTGTGCTTTCTGTGTCCAGGTGTTTCTGTAAGGTGGTCAGCCACAGCCTGGTTCTCAACAGTACACACAAACACCGCCCCCTACAGGTGAGTAAAGTGTGTGTTGAGTGTTAAACAGCAGCAGCAGGTTGAGGCTGTGCATGTGTGTCCATGTGTGCAGTAGGAGGATGGCGGTGAATGTCTACTCTACATCTATGACTGCTGACAACCTGAGTCGTCATGACATGCTGGCGTGGGTCAACGACTCTCTGCAGCTCACCTACACAAAGATCGAGCAGCTCTGTTCAGGTAAACATACGTCCTCTTTATTTATCTTATTTGAACTGAAATCCACTTTATATTAACATTATAATATTAATACACTTCCTGTTTTGGTTGCAGGAGCTGCTTACTGCCAGTTCATGGACATGTTGTTCCCAGGGTGCATATTGTTGAAAAAAGTCAAATTTAACGCTAAGCTGGAGCATGAATTCATCCACAATTTCAAGGTTTTACAGGCTGCGTTCAAGAGGATGAATGTAGACAAGGTGAGGACAGGATAAACTCAGAGAATCTGCTACAACCCTCTTAGTTCAGCTCTAATATTTGATTGTTTTTTAATTTAAGATCATCCCTGTGGAGAGACTGGTGAAGGGGAAGTTCCAGGACAACTTTGAGTTCCTTCAGTGGTTTAAGAGGTTTTTTGACGCCAACTATGATGGAAAAGAATACGACCCTCTACTGATGAGGCAGGGCCAGGAAGGAACGCCTCCTCCACCTAACCCAGGTACAAAAATACACACAGGTGTGTGTGACATGACAGCTTATTCACCTCTTCACATAATCACATCCACACCTCTAACCCAGGTGAACTCATTCATCCTAAACCTAAACGAGCGTCTCGCTCAGGTAACTCTCTGTGTTTTATGCTTGCTTTTCATTTATGGACCAATAATCTTTGGTTGGTTTCAAACATTTAAGAAGGTTTGCCTGTTCTTCTGGATGTCACTCATCCTGCTAACCTGCACTTCATAAACTGTTTTATTACTCAAGTGGTTCATTACGGTTAGGGTTAGGTCACATACATAAACCCATAAACCGTCACATACTTTAACAGCTATTATATTGTATAGTAAAATAAATAAATGCAAAGTGCAATAATGTGTAAAGAAGAACCATTCTCAGGGTCTAAATGAAACTCAATAATCATATGTGTGGTTATTCCCAGCTACAGTGACACATGAATAAAAATAATGTGAAATAACTGGAACTAGACATGGGTTTTTACGATGTAAAAACAAGTGTGCATTGCCATGTAG